TAAATATTATTATTTATTTTTTTTTTATATTGTGATCAAGTTTTTTGTTATATAAACTTGATATACTAAATTTTGGAATCAAAATTACAGTGTACTTTTTTTTTAAAAATTTTTTTGGGTGATCTACACCCTTTAAAAAAAGGCAACATTTGTTCCTATTATATATAGAGCTTCTGCACTGTAGTAAAATAAATCTTAATCAAATCCTAAGATTAAATAAATTTTGATTGACAAATTTATGAGGACAAATTAGTTAATCAAATCTTAATCAAATCAAATTTTTAATTTCTGAGGACGTGCCCATTGAATTTACTCAGAAGATCTACACAAATTTGGACCAAAAATCCCTGTATGTTTAAGAGATAAATAGAAATTTATTATTTTTATTTACAAATAAATTTTTTTTTGCCAGAAATCTTTCCTATTGCAAAGTTCTGCTGGAAAAAACTGGCAAATTAAAGTACCTTTTGTGCAGTGATTTGGACCAATAATAACGAGTTACAACAAACTCTTGGTACATGGCTTGGAATTATGTTAAAAAATTCTCGGAGCACCTGCATGGAAGGAAAATATTCTTTACCTATTCTTTGGGTGCTCTGACAAAAATCTAACCTTTGCTATTACCATTGCTATTATTTTTATTATTATTATTAATTATATCTTCTTTGTTTTCATTATCTTCATTCATTGCTTCTTTCTTCTTTTCCTTGTCAATCCACTGTTGAATTGCTTCTTCTAGGTTTCATCAGAAGTTTTTAATAGTAGAGGCAGCATACTTTTTCTTTCAAGTAATTCATGAACTTCAGTCATCATTTCACTGAATGAAAAATTAGGAATTTAATTTGTCCTTTTATCAGACATCCACTTTGAAATCTTTCCACAAAGTCTCACCAACTGTCTTGGTCTATTTTTTTGCAAGGTTGTTTGTTACCTTTTATATAATAATTAGCATATGCAACAGGCTTATTGGTAACTTGATGTATCCTCACTAAAAAAGAACCAGATAGTACAGTTGCACTAGTTGAACCAATTGAACCAATTCACCCTCTCCATTCAAAGCATTTTTAGATATTGGATTGAAAATTGAAATGTAAATCTATTTGATCTAAAGTTTTTATTCCACATGGAGAAAATGTATTTCCAGGTTATGACGCAGAATCAAATCACTTGACCCAAGTATTCTCTGTAAATAATAGCTATGGTGGACATGTGGTAGATTACATGCACTATCTTCAGGATGAGAATGATGACAAGTATAAGTGACAAATTTCCAAATTTATTGAAGCTGGAGTTAATATTTATAAAGGAGCACATGCCAAGAACCTGTGTTTAAACCCACTACATGTTTTTCATTGTTTTTTTAAATAGTAGAAGGTTCAATTGAATTAAAAACAAGGTCCAATAAAAGTTAGAAGCTTATAGGCAAAGCATCAAGGAGAAGATGAAAAAATAAAAATTTTTTTATTGCCATCATCATCATAACATTTGTGTTTTTTTTATATGAGAATAAAAATAATTTAATTCAATTCTAATTCTAGAATCTTCTTCTATTTTATATTTGTTGATGTCTTGTTGATGGATAATTTAATTATTTTGAAAATGATTGGTAAAATTTCTATGTTGATTGTTATGATAACAAAGTTTTACAAGTAGAACTATTGTATGTGAAAATCTATAATTAAATATGAAGGTGCATTTGGATGCAAAATTCCTTATTAATTTCACATGTGAATTGCACCAAACTTTGAATACTTAGTCTAACTCAGTAACACCCTTCCATTGTATTTGGCAAATCTGATTATCCTACAATGTTTTTTGTTATTATGAATTTATTTATTTATATTAATAATAGAATTACTTTATATAATTATTTAATAAAGTGTTGCAAATTTAGCTTAATTAAATAAAACATAATACTTATATTAAAAAAACCTTAAATTAAAATATTCATTTGTACTGAAACTCTTTGAATATATTTTTTTGTAAATATTATTTATTATTATTATTTAGAATTCAATGTAACTTTCTCCAATATCAGAATTTCCAATAGTATTATTACCTCTAAAGAAATCTAATTTAATTTCACTTAATTCATCAATTGAAGCAATAAAGTTTTGTATATCATTTTTATCTATTAAATTGATTTCTTCTTTGTAAGCAGTGTGTTGCTCAAGTTGAATATTTGAAGATGAAGTGTTAATAAAAAAAAAGGTACTTGAAATATTTGAAGGTGAAATCAAATCATCAGCATTCAGAATTTTAGAAGAAGAGTAGTAAAAAGGAAGAGCTGATGATGACATCAAAACATTATTACTATTATCATCATCATCTATTAACCTATTTGCTTGAAAATTTATTGAGCATTTCTGTTGTTGTTTATCATCTATATTATAATACTGACTTAATTGATCAAAATTATTATTTTTAACATTCAATATTTCAGGTGAAATAAAAATACTATCTTCAAAATTTATCATCTTAAGCTCAAAATGCGAATTTGTTGGATCAATTCCTAAACTTTTTAATAAATTTTCAATTCCTTCAATTTGCATACCACATGGAAAATTGACTCTTAATTCATATCCAAAGATTTTTATTTCATAGTTTCCATGTTGCAACAATTTTTCCAATATTGATGTAATTTCTTTCATGTGGTTATAATAAAGTTTTGAATTCTCACAAAGCCCTTCAATAATTAAATTGTTTAGTTGTTGAATATCAGGTGGCTTTTTATGAAGCAAAAATGTGTTATTTGTAAGAAAAGTGGTATTGCTAATATTTGATATATTTGATATAGAAGTGGCCACACTGTTAAGTGCCCATAGAGGTGAATTGACCACAAAAGTCATATAGTATTGAATATTTCTAGTGGTGTAATCAATGCCTTTATCCAAGATTTCATCATCGTCAAAAGTATTATTATCATTACAAATAGTCATTGCATTGTTATTTTGAGTGGTTTTGCTACTATTATTATTAATTTTTATTTTTTTATCAATTCTTAATGTTCCTTTATCACTTTGATCAAAAAGTTTGTGACCAATTGACTTTTCATGAAATTTGAATTTATTTTTCTTTAAACTATTTGCATTTTTGATTTCAATTTTTTGATCTAAATTGTTAAGATAATATTTTGAGAATAAGGAATCTGGTTTATTAAAAAGATTAGAAAATGGTTTGAAGCCTAGGCGAGACATAGAAGTTCCATTACAACTAGTAGTATTATTTACCAACGATGTCGCATGAATAGTTGAGAAATTTCTACTGTTATTGGCAACAAACACATTTTTTAGACCTATTGGATGCAAAGATACTGGATTATGAAGTAAACCTATTTTGTTTTGTATATGAAGTTGGTTTGAGTTCCAAGTCACAGCAGGAACAGATTTTGGAAAATAGTTGAATTTATTATTAAAAAGACCAAAGTTTTGCTCAAGAAAATTATAGAGTTTAGAGTTTTTTTGAGCATTGGTGATTGGAGAGAAATTAAATTCTACAAGCTGTTTCTGTAAATATGCACATTGTTTTGTTGAATGAGAAAGTTGGGAATTATAAGTAGTATTTATAGACGTTGACTTTTGTGACCCTTTAATTCCATGAGTAGTCAGAAGATGCTCTAAGGGTTCAACAAAGGCCTTTATTTTTTTTAGCATTTATAAAGTTCGCATATACGAACAAAAAAATTTTATCAATATGCAATACAGTCAGGGTTATTACCCAATATGGAATTTCTAAATACTGTAATGATAGACAATCTAGAAATCTTTAGAAAAAAACAAAAAAAAAATGGTTAGCTAATTTTATGCAGATCTTTCCTTTGAAAAAAAAGATAAATAAAATAAAATTAAAAATAATGCAAAGGCTTTAAATGGTCATATATAACCTCCAAAATTATGTATTACGTTTATTTTTAACTGCTTTACAAGTCTATCAAAAAATAACCAATAGCTTCAAATTATAGTCATAAAATTACCATAAAAACCCAATAACTTTTTTCATAATGGTTAAATATACTGATGAAATGTTTGAGTCACTCATTCATCAAGAATCTTGTTATTAAAATTAATAAAATTAATAAATAGTATCATGAAATTTTAAATTAATTCATAAGCTTTTTGGATATAAATAAAGTCTATGCCAAATTTTTTATATCTGTATTAAAATAAATTATTGAGAATTTGTTAAACAAATAGTTTTAAATGATCTTTAATTTATTCCCTATTGCATTTAAGATATTATCTCAAATGACACTCTGAATATTTTTCAATGCAGCAAATAAGCAGTGTGCAATTGATCTTGACATTTTACCACTAAAGTTCAAAGAGAAAAAAAACTTAAAATTTAAACTCCCAGCACTTAAATTTATGTAAAGGCTTACATGTACTTTGAACAAATTAATAGGTTTTTATAGATTTTTAGTAGATTATGAAAAAGCAAGTTCAATACTGTTTATTTCAATTATTATTTTAAAAAAAAGATTCTCAAAAGGCAGCAAAGTATCATGTTAACTTGTTCACCATACATATAAATTGATTGACAAAAGGAGTTCCAATTTTTCTAGATTCGATTTCCAAATACTACAGTCAAACCTCGTTATAACGAACATATTGGTTTGGCCCAACGATCTGTTATAATGAGGTATTAGGTAACCAAGATAATTGATGATCATCACATGATGATTTTAAAATAACTTTTTTTAATTAATATTAATGATAATAAAATTGTACAATATAATAATATAACTGATATGATGCTTTTGTCATTTGTAAAATAAGAAGTTAATTTTCCTTGGTTAAAACTTTTAGAATTATACAAATTAAGTTCGTTATAATCTAATTCTAAACCATCATTATCTTGTTCAAAAAATTTGTG